TTCCTCTGGGATGGCCCGAAACGCTTCGCTGGCCCGGCCGGATAACTTCCCAGAGAGGATAGTGACCTATTCGTCTGCGGGTACCTGGTGTAGGGCACACTGTCTTTCAAAGTCAGCCAGGAACCCGTCAATCTCTCCCTCTGCTTCAATAAAAATTTTAAATGCAGCAAAGGGTACCTTTTTTCATCCAATATTATTATTGGGTACCTCTGCTGCTGCAGCTCCTCTTTCCTGGAGTACTTTGTGTGACATCACTGCTGCTTGCACACGTTCCACAATGTCTGCTGTAGGGTGGGGGCCAAAGTGTGCCAGCCTTATCTGGACTGCCCGGTTGAATTGTATTTCCTCGGGTGTTAGATCCAGAATGCTGGGCACATTAGCTCTCTCCATTCCTTGTGCTGCATCCATTTCCAGTAGCAAAGCAATAATCTCTCGTTTCTTTAGATTACTTGCTGACCGTCCTCGGCGTTCTAGTATGTCTTTAAGGGTAGCACGCCTTAATTCCTCATACTGCATTTCCTCCACCAAAATGGGATGTGTAGCTGACCTTCTGGGCGGTGGGACTCATCCCGTCGCTTGCTACCAATTGTTAAGACACCCCTGGCACAAAGGAGTGAAACCGCCGTTTAGTTAAGCTTCCCCTTTCGCAATAATGCAAGCTCCATTCGTATATACTTCCATTGTACGAACTGCAACCAGGGGAATGCGCCAATCACCCGAACGGGACCCGTACGGATGCTCCAAACTCCTGAACAATAATCCACGAATAGCTGCTAACAGCCGAACAAATATATCCTCCAAGCGGCTTACGGTTCCAGCAATCAGTCGCTAACCGTGTGTAGTAAATCCCCCCAATAACGAGACCAATCTCCGCATTGAGGGTAAAACAAGAACTGGCTTTACTGTGGGCTACCCGCCCGTATATAGCGCTCAGTTCCCATACGCATAGTTCAATCGCCATGGAGTCAAAGTCTTTTACAGTCTTTCGGTATGCGATTGACTCCATGGGATGGCTATCTGGGTTAAGTCCCTTTGTGTAATCCAAACTCCCGAACGGCTGGTGTTCGCATGCCTTTTTTCGACTGAGAATGGCGGTCTGTGGTTTCAGTGGTGTTCGGCAGAAAAAGTGTCCATTTTTAGTTCCATAGAATCTGCGCCGAACACCTCTGGTCTTTCGCATGGTTTAAAATGGCCGCCGCCTCGTGGTCGACATACGAACGACGACCACCTTGCATTCGGTTATAATTAAGAGGTGTCTGCGGTTAACCACAACATTCAAATTGGGATCAAGAGGTTAACCAGCAGCACACTTCTCTTCTGGGTGGCCGTCCGTTCGGTAAGTTCATTCGGTAAAAAGTCAAATATACGAATAGGGGTATACGAACAGGCAATTCCACAAAAGGAAGGCAAACTAGACGAACCAGCAATAATAGTTATACAGATGGGTCTGTTACACACCCCTTCGACAGCCCCCCTACCGTATCCCTGAAACAGTCCAAGAAGGAATGCGGAAGGAAATACAGGAGATGACTCAGTTAGGAGTTATTGAACCCTCTGACAGCCCTTGGGCTTCGCCTGTAGTTCTGTTGCCTAAAAGAGATGGAACCACACGGTTCTGCGTGGACTACAGGCAACTCAATGAGAGGACTACCACTGATGCCTACCCAATGCCCGGGGTAGACAAACTGCTAGATTGCATAGCCAGGGGACGTTATCTAACTACAATAGACCTGTGTAAAGGCTATTGGCAGATTGCCCTGGCCGGGGATGCCATCCCCAAGTCGGCATTTGTTACCAGTTTGGCCTGTACCAGTTTAAGGTCATGCCATTCGGGATGAAAAATGCCCTGGCTACCTTCCAGCGTATGGTGGATATGCTTCCCGATGGATTCCAGGATTTTGCCTGTGCATACCTGGATGACATTGCGATCTACAGTGGGTCTTGGGAAGAACACTTGGTTCACGTAGTGGTGGTACTGGACAAGATTTGGGCCACAGGCCTGACCTTGAAGTTGGAGAAGTGCCATTTAGGTATGGCTGAGGTGCAGTCTTGGGACACAGAGTAGGGTGTGGAAACCAGAGACCAGAGCCAGCAAAGGTAGAGGCGGTAGCTAACTGGCCCACACCCCGCACTAAGACTCAGGTACTAGCCTTCTTGGGGACTGCAGAGTACTACCAATGTTTTGTCCCTGACTATAGTGCTATAGCCAAACCCTTGACTGACCTGATGAAGAAGAATTTGCCTAGGCAGGTCCTGTGGTCTCCAGCTTGTCAAGCCGCGTTTCAAGCACTTAAGTAAGCTCTTGTTAATGCCCCTGTCTTGGCTGCCCCAGTACCTAACAAACGTTTCCTTGTTCACACAGACGCTTCCAGGGGTGGGCTGGGAAGGGGGGCAGGGAGGCAATTGCCCCCCAGGCCACCCTAAACCAAGGGCCGCCCGCACCCAGCAAAAATAGGAAAAATCTGAATCCCCTGCCTCTGGCCCTGCCTCTGGCTGAGGACTCAGATTTTTCAACTTAACTCCCTCTCCCTGCAGCTTGCAGTCAGTGAAGTGGGCCGGCCTCTCCTGATGATGTCAGGAGGAGGGGGCGTGACTTTCACTGCTCTTCTCCCAGGACCTCTGGGGAGTCTGGGAGAAGAGCAGAGGAAGTCACGCCCCCTCCTCCTGACATCATCAGGAGAGGCCGGCCCACTTCACTGACTGCTGCTGGTTGCTGCCCACCCCTCCCTGGCCTAAGGTAAGACTCAGGGAGGGGGGAAATACACTTTAGTTTTTTTTTATTCCCCTCCTCAGCCCTTGCCCCCCTCCTCAGCCCCTGTCCCCTCCTCAGTCCTGTCCCCTTAGTCAGTCCCTGATCCCCCTTCCTCAGCCCTGTCCCCCTAGTCAGCCCCAGTCCCTCCTCAGCCCCTGTCCCTCCTCAGCCCCATTAGTCAGTCCCCCCCTCCTCAGCCCTGTCCTTAGTCAGCCCCTGTCCCCTCCTCAGCCCCGTCCCCTCTTCAGCCCCATCACCCTTCTTCAGCCCTGTCCCCTTAGTCAGCCCTGCCCCCCCTCATCAGCCCTGTCCCCTCTCCTCAGTCCTGTCCCCTTAATCTGCCCCTGTCACCTACCTCAGCCCCTGTCCCCCCTCCTCAACTCCTGTCCCCTAAGTCAGCCCCTTTCACCCTTGTCCCTTTGCTCAGCCCCTGTCCCCCTCCTCAGCCCTGTCCCCGTCCTGTCCCTCCCTGACCCCTCCTCCTGTCCTTCAGCCCCTGTCCCCCCTCCTCAGCCAGCCCCTTCCCCCTCCTCAACTCTTGTCCCCAAACCACGGCCCCTTTCCCAAATTGTAGCCATCAACCTGCTTCAGCCCCTACCCCCCCTACATTTCCTAAACATCCAATTACAGCATATACCCTCCACTACAGCCCCTGTCCCCCCACTACAGCCCTGTCCCCTTACTCAGCCCCTGTCTACTGTTTTTTTAAAGTGTAAAGTATGGGTGTATGTGTATGTCTGTGTGTGTCAGTATGTCTGTGTGTGTGCGCGTCAGTATATCTGTGTGTGTGTGCGCCAGTATGTTTGTCTGTGTGTGCGCCAGTATGTCTGTGTGTGTGCTCCAGTATGTCTGTGTGTGTGTGTGTGCGCCAGTATGTCTGTGTGTGTGTGTGTTTGTGCCAGTTTGTCTGTGTGTGTGTGTCAGTATGTCTGTCTGTCTGAGTCAGTATGCCTGTAACAGTGTGTCTTTCAGTGTGTCTGTGTGCCTGTCAGTGAGTGAGCGCGTGTGCCTGCCAGTGAGTGTGTGTTTTTTTAGTGTGTGCCAAATCAGCAAGTATGTGTGTGTGCCTGTCATTGAGTGTTTGTTTGGGTGACTGCCCCACCCCTCCCCCCCCTTTCAATCACATGGGAAAGGTGTTTATACTCTCCTCTTGGTGCAATGGGCCACTTGACTGGATTTGCCCCAGAGGCCTGAGGCTGCCAGCCCTCCCCTGGACGCTTCCATGTTTGGACTGGAGGCTGTGCTGAGCCAAGTCAGGGAGGATGGAGAGAGAGCACCCTGTCGCATACCTGAGTCGAAAACTGCTACCCCGGGAAGTGAGCTACACGGCAGTGGAGAAGGAACGTTTGGCCCTGGTTTGGGCACTCAAAAAGTTAAGCTCCTATCTGTACGGACAGGAATTTTCACTTGTCACCGACCACAACCCATTGGTCTGGCTTAACCGGGTCTCAGGAGACAATGGCACAATGGCATTGCTACGGTGGAGCCCAGCCCTGCAACCTTACAACTTTTATTATCAGCTACCGACCCGGTAAGCAAAACAGCAATGCTGATGGGTTGTCCCGGCAAACAGACATCACTCCGGCCTCCTAGTTCCAGACATCCCCAAGTTGACCCGAGAAGGGTCAAGCCGGGTCTGCCAGAGTGTCCCACAAGGAGGGAGCCATGTGACAGAACCATTGTATGTGATGGATAAGAACACAATAGTCTAAGTTGGTGAAGTGAAACGAGAAAAATATATACATAAAACTATTTTTTAGAAACAGAAAACAGAAAATTGGCATGTGCGTATGTATTCACCCCCTTTGTTATGAAGCCCATAAAAAGCACTGGTGCAACCAATTACCTTCATAAGTCACATAAATAGTGAAATGATGTCCACCTGTGTGCAATCTAAGTGTCACGTGTTCTGTTATTACATATACACACCTTTTTTGAAAGGCCCCAGAGGCTGCAAAACCTAAGCAAGAGGCACCACTAACCAAACACTGCCATGAAGACCAAGGAACTCTTCAAACAAGTTAGGGACAATGTGCAGCAGCTGTCCGGATAGCTGGTCTCAGACGATATTGGAGGTGAAGATGCTGGATGTGGAGGTTCTGGGCTGCTGTGGTTACACGTGGTTTGCTTTTGTTAGGGCGGTTGGATGTACTGCCAAATTCTCTGAAATGCCTTTGGAGATGGTTTATGGTAAAGAAATTAATATTCATTTCATGGGCAACAGATCTGGTGGACATTCCTGCAGTCAGCATGCCAATTGCACTCTCCCTCAAAACTTGCGACATCTGTGGCATTGTGCTGTATGATAAAACTGGACATTTTAGAATGACTTTATTGTGGCTAGCCTAAGGCACATCTGTGCAATAATCATGTTGTCTAATCAGCATCTTGGTATGCCGCACCTGTGAGGTGGATGGATTATCTTGGCAAAGGAGAAGTGCTCACTAACACAGATTTAGACAGATTTGTGAACAATATTTAAAAGAAGTAGGCCTTTTGTGTACATAGAAAAAGTCTTAAATCTTTGAGTTCAGCTCATGAAAAATGGGTGCAAAAAGTGTTGTGTTTATAATTTTGTATATATATATATATATATATAATGCCAAAATACCAGAGTATTGCAGTATGCAATGATACCTTTTTTATTGGACTAACATAATATTTAAAAGACAAGCTTTCGAGAGTTTTCCTCTCTTCCTCAGGTCTGAAGCAATATGGATCAATCTTAGAGTTTAACACTTAAATCAGATGTGCCTGAGGAAGAGAGGAAAACTTTTGAAAGCTTGTCTTTGAAATATTATGTTAGTAAATATGGTATTTTGGCATTTTGTCTACTGGACCAATACGGCTATATATATTCAGCCTGCACACAAGCTGAAATTTACTAGATTGCCGGGTGCCAGCCAGGGCTCAAGTGTATCTAGATAGCAACAAACTTTAGCTGCACTCACGGTCTGTAATAAAATCTTCAATGCTTTATTGGATTCATGTTAAAATTGGATCAACGTTTCAGTCCTCCTTGACCTTGTGGACTTTCCTCAGGATAAACTGTTCTCGTGTTTGATCATAAGGAAAGTCCACAAGGAGGACTGAAACGTCGATCAAATTTTAACATGAATCCAATAAAGCATTGAAGATTTTATTACAGACCGTGAGTGCAGCTAAAGTTTGTTGATATATATATATATATATATATATATATTTATACATATACACATACCCATAGTTTATGTACACTGCCTGCCCCCCAAAAAAGTCGCCACCTGCAACAAGTTATTTAACCCCAATTGATGCAATGAGTAGCTTCTCATTTCTTAAACAACCTTATCGAAAGACACATTCCGTGGTTATGGAAAATATGTTAGTCTATTTGACTATTTAGCTCAAATCATTGGCATGTAGCAATCACAGAAAACCTCTAAAGAGATTGCAGAAACTACTAAAATTGGGTTAAGAACTGTCCAACACATTATTAAAAACTGGAAGGATAGTGGGGAAACATCTTCTTCAAGGAAGAAATGTGGTCGGAAAAAATCCTGATTGATCGTGATCGGCGATCACTTAAACGTTTGGTGAAATCAAATCATATAAAAACAACAGTAGAACTCAGGGCTATATTCAGGCACAATGCAAAGGGAACTTAAGGGATTGGGACTGAACAGCTGTGTAGCTTTAAGAAAACCACTAACCAGTAAGGCTAATCTGAAAAAAAGGCTTCAATTTCTAAGGAGCATAAAGATTGGACTCTGGAGCAATGGAAGAAAGTCATGTGGTCTGATGAGTCCAAATTTACCCTGTTTCAGAGTGATGTGTGCATCAGGGTAAGAATAGAAGCATATGCAGTGATGCACCCATCATACCTAGTGCAATCTGGGGTTGCTGCAGTTGGTCAGGTCTAAGCTCAGAAACATTATGTGCCCAAAGAATGAGGTCAGCTGACTACCTTTTTTTTCCCTGATGGCACTGGCATATTCCAAGATGACAATGCCAGTATTTATCAGGCTCAAATTGTGAAAGAGTGGTTCAGTTAGCATGAGAGATCATTTTCACACATGGATTGGCCACCACAGAGTCCAGAATCTTTGGGATGTGCTGGAGAAGGCTTTGCGCAGTGGTCCGACTCTCCCATCATCAATACAAGATCATGGTGAAAAATGAATGCAACACTGGTCAGAAATAAATCTTTTGACATTGCAGAAGCTTATCGAAACAATGCTACAACGAATGAGTGACGTAATCAAAGCTAAAGGTGATCCAACAAAATATTAGAGTGTGTGACCTATTTTTTTGGCCAGGCAGTGTATATATACACCACACACACTTTGACTCTAAATGTATATTATTTACAAAATTATATTATCGGTGGACCAGCCTGACAACCCAGGTAGAAGTACCGTAAAATTTAATTTGTAAGCCCTTTATTTGACCCAGTAACTTCCCAAAACCCCATAAAACCTGTACATGGTGGGTACTGCTGTATTTGTGAAACATCGCTGAGTGTTTTAGAACAGTAAAACGTATAATGACATCATGTGTAAAGGACAATAATTGTTTGTGTAAAATGCAATAACAAATATGAACACTAACTTTGGCTAGGTTTTGTGGCTACTAAAAAAGACTGGACATAACCCATTTTAAATACTCTGGGTTGTCTACTTGTCTACAAATTGTATGCCATGATGGAGGTAATTTTCATTCATAGGCTGCCATATGGTCTAAAAGGCAACGCTATGAAATATGTACATGTGGGCAACATTGGAGCAGAGCAGCTAGCAGCAGATATTGCAGCTCCTGCCCTTGACCTGGACCTGGCCAGCCTGGTCCCCACTGGACCCCAGGGAAGCCACTCACACTGCTACATATATACAGATCTGGAGAATAAGCCTCACCCTCATACACATAATACAAACAGCCCACACAGCAACACACTAGCACATGGACAACCCCACTAAAAATCCACTTGCATGCACACAACCCCACTCTCACATGCAATACCACACACTACCTAACACACAATGTGACATATCATCCACACACACACAATTACACAAGCATCCCCCATACACAGACCAAATTAATATCATACACAATAACACAGACTACTCATGAAAATATACAATATTATAGCCCACATATGCACAAATAACACAAACACAATGCGGCAACATGCATTCACCAATTTGAGAAAAATAAATAGAACCATGGGACTTCAAGATCTTGTTTTGGCACTGTACTACTAAAAGTTTGCCTACCCCTGCTAAAGGCTTTATTTGAAAAATGTGTTTAAAGGTTGAAGGATGTTAAGGGTAGCTTTTACATTATGAAACTACCCGGTCTTGTTTTCTTTCATTTTGTTGGTTTTCTCTCTTTTGTGAACTTGTGATAAACGGTGTCGGAAGTCTTTCATATATCTTATTTATGTTCCTTAGGACATGACAAGATCTTAGTGAACTGATTCCTCTCTTGCAACTGTCATTAGTCTAATACTATCCTTACCTTTTGTGTCACTTTACCCCACTCCCTCTAGCATGTAAGCTCATTGAGCAGGGCCCTCAACCCCTCTGTTCCTGTTTGTCCAACTTGTCTGGTTACAAGAACATGTCTGTTCGTCCACCCATTGTAAAGCGCTGCGGAATTTGTTGGCGCTATATAAATAATAATAATAATAACTTATTTACCAACGTACTCTTCGGTAGATAGGAACTAGTTATGTCAAAGTAGAGGTAATTTAGATCCCTTCAAACTGGAACTAGATTGGCTAAATTATTTCTTGCTGTTTTACTTTATGCAGCCCCAGGCTTAACCCTGCATTATTGTCTAAAATAATTTGCCACCTGTTAATCTAGTATTATATAAGCTTATATAGTTTATTTATTTAGTCTGGGATAGTCAAATAACGCCAAGTACCCTTAGCTACACTTTGGGCAACTCTTATTGCAAGTAGTATCTCTTTTAAGAGTTGACAACAATTGCACTCGAAATTAACTTAATGAAGTGACAACTTCCATGCCAGGTTATGAACAATTCAGAGAGACAAAAAAAAAAAACATTTAAAATGTATTGTCAAACAAAAACAGAGCAATACATCATTAAAGTAATAAAAGGTCAATTTTCATATTTTCACATTTTTATTTCTATGAAATAACTGAGTGTTTGGCATACTGTACCCAATTCCCTAAGGGTTACCCCCATTTAATTTCCTAGAACTAGTTTGAGCACTCTCTCTTTACCTGTTAAAAGATGGCACAAAAAGAGGGAGATCTGATGTGAGAGGGAATGGGATCAAGGGAACAAGTCATGGGACAAGAGGAAAGGAGAAGTGCAAACACCTTATATTCAGTATCTGGTATAAAGGTCTGAAGTTCTTAATCCTAATTAGGTTGAAATATTTTCCTTGGAGAATTATGAAGGTGGAGAATAAATCTTGTCATTAAAATAGCAAGCAAAGTTATCAGCTGTAATGTTAGCATGGGGGGAGCAACAGCAAGGAGAAGTAAAGCGTTGAAGGAATTAAATGGACACTTGGAATTGTGCAAGTATGTACTAATGACATAGGAAACGCATGATTGTTTAGGTTTAAAACTTCCTCCAACAGCGTTCAGCTGACTTGTAGCATCTTAGTAGTTAATGGGTAGACAGACAGGATTATGATTATTCACTAAAATTCGAATGGCCCCCATAATGATTGTGAAACCATCTGGCTCAGCAGAGGGCCATTTGAATTGAAAAATACAGACTTTGTTCATGCTACTTAACATAGTCCATATTTTGCATATCAGGTTCTGACTAAGCCTTTTTAATTAGGTTTAAATTTCAGTCGGACCAAACACTGCCGGACATCTAAAATCAGAACACTATTAAGTAGGTTTTTAAAAATCCTGTGCCCCTACCTGCCATGTGGCACATAGGGGATAGCTGCAAACTTTACAAACTAGCAACTGGGCAGCTTTAAAATAAAAAACTTTTGATAAAGCCAGCTATTCGGCGAAACATGTTAAGTGCATTTTATACTATTTTATGCAAGTATATTTTACTTTTACAGTTTAGCTTTTTATTTTTATCATTAAAAGTATTTTTTATGGGACCATACTAATCACTGCTGGATTTTATGGACAATTAGATCCTTGATGGGTACAAAAAAACTACACCCATTGGATTGAGCAATCCTCACTTGCTCCACAGAATGGGAGAATGGTTTTATTCTACAGCTTATATTTTAGTTCTACAGTTACACACTATTGTGTTTCTTTTGTTTTTTTTTCCTTCTATATCTACACACGGAGAGGCACGAGCACCTATTATATCCTAGAGTGGGGATCATACCACTGCAAGCCATATCTGGGGAGCCAACATTCTGGCTCCATATTACGTAAGTGCACATCGTTGATATTGTTATTCTCTCCTTTTTGGTTTGACATACTACACCATATTGTCTCTGTTCTCCTTCTACATATCTATGAAGATATCATTGTAAAGAGAAAGACCACCCGCAGACCCGTGGACCACAGCATATCCCTAGGTGGGGATTATTCTGCCCAAGCGCTAAAGGTTGAAGCTACACCCAGGCTCCTAAAAAGTGTGAGTGGGCTATCCCTTTTAATCTTTTTATCACTGTATTTGACATACTACACCAACAATTTCTTTCTTTTATTTTACATATTTGCAAGGACATAGTAGTCGCTACACCACCCTTCTGTTTCTCCTCCTTCTGCACTAGACTAGAGATGCTCTGGATTTGGTGACTAAGCTGCCCTTGAACTATACCAGTATTTTACAAGCCCTGAATCACCTAAAATGATTCCCCTGAGCGACCCGTAGTGATGCCAGGAGCTGGAATATGACGTCAGTCCGGCTCCCGGCATCAGTCTGCGGTGCACGAGGGAGCTGAGCATAGAGATCACCGCTATCTCGCTGACAACTTAGAGCGCCTGCACGTCCGGCCGCCTTCCTGCCCAGCAACCCGGTCAGCAGCCCCACTGGACCCCAGGTGAAAAATTCACCCAGCTATCCCAAAAGTAGGGAGGCTGGGTGGATTTAAATTAAAAAAAAATAATAATAATTGTGAGTGCTGGGGGAAAATGTGTCAGTAAATGTGAGGAAGTGAGTGAGTGTGTGTGTCAGTGAATGTGAGTGAGTGCATGCATCTGTCAGTGAGGATTGCATGCATCTGTCAGTGAGTGTCTAAATGTATGTGTGTCATATTGTGTCAAATCAGTGTGTGTGTGTGTATGCCAGTGTATCTGAAAGCAGGGCCGCCATCAGGGCATGACAACCGCAACGGTTGTCATGGGCCCGGCGGTCCTGGCGGGCCCGGGCTGCTAAGGTCGTCCGGGCCCCACATTCAGTTGGTACATACCGGGTCGCAGGGGGCCCTGTGACCCCGGTATGTACCCACTGGGCCAGCCTCTTCTCCTGGGGGGCCCAGCAGCCGGTCACCTCAGGGCCCCCCAGAGGCTGGCCCTGCTGACAACCGGCGGGTGGGCGGGCGCGTGAGGGAGCACTCTCTGAGGCTGGCCCTGCATCAGTATGGTGCGCGAGGGAGCTGAAGAGGAAGCACACAGAGGAAAGTGCTCCCTCGCGCGCCCGCCCGCCGGGGTCAGGGGGAAATTTGAGTGAGTGGGAGGAGGGAGGAAATTTGAGTGAGTGGGGGGGGAGAGGGAGGGAGGGAGGAAATTTGGGGAGGAGGGGGGAGAGGGAGGGAAGGGATTTGAGAGAGGGGAGAGGAAGGGAGGAAATATCGGGGGGGAGAGGGAGAGGAAGGGAGGAAATTTGGAGGGAGGGAGAGAGGAAGGAAATTTGGGAGGGGGGGAGAGGAAGGAGGAAATTTGACTGAGGGAGAGGGAGGGAGGAGGAAGGGAGGAAATGAGGAGGGAGGGGGGGAGAGGAAGGGAGGAAATTTGAGGGAGGGGAGAGGAAGGAGGAAATTTGAGGGGGGAGAGGAAGGAAATTTGAGGGAGGGGAGGGAGAGGAAGGAAATTTGAGGGAGGGGGGAGAGGAAGGAAATTTGAGGGAGGAGGGGAGAGGAAGGAAATGAGAGGGAGGGGGAGAGGAAGGAAATGAGAGGGAGGGGGAGAAGAAGGAAATGAGAGGGAGGGGGAGAAGAAGGAAATTGGAGGGGGGGAGAAGGCAATGAGAGGGAGGGGGAGAAGAAGGAAATTGGAGAGAGGGGGAGAAGAAGGAAATTGAAGGGGGGGGGAGAAGGAAATTGACAGGGGAGAGATTGACATCCAACACACACACACACAATGCACACCTTGCACACAGAAAACACACAATGCACACAGACACACATACACAAGCAATGCATCCCTTACACACAGCAACACACAATGCACCTCTTACACACACTCAGTGCATCCCTTACAGACGCACACACTGCATCCCATACATACACAAACTCACCTTGCAGCCCTTACACATACAAACATAGATTCACACAATGCATTCCTTAAACACATCAGGACATCCCCCCCCCCACACACACACCCCTGTGAACAAACTCATTGGTGGAACATGAAGGTGGAGCCTGGGACCCAGACCTTGAGCTGTGTAAAGGGCCCTCAAAAAAATGGAGCTGCTTCCCGTTCTCCCAGAACATTGATTTTTGTGACCACAGTTACAAACCGCCTCCAGAGAGCCTGTTCTACACCAGACCAGTGGAGCCAGACGGCAGCTAGAGCCCATCATCATCCTCATCTGGTTGTATGTAGGCAATCTAGTATATTATTCGTGGCACTAATCTCTAATTTACCTCACATTAAAGGGACACTATAGTCCCCAGAACCACTGCAGCTTAATGTAGTGGTTCTGGTGTCTATAGCCTGTCCCTGCAGGCCTTTTATTGTAAACACGGCGGCACTGCGGCACTGTGTTAGTTAACATGGCAGATCATATGGGTGGGGCATTGTGATGTCACATGGGGGGCGGCAAACTTTACTTTTGCCTGGGGCGGCAAAAATCCTTGCAGACACTGCATCCCTGTGTGCCGACTCGGGGGGGGGGGGACTCGGTGCAGGCACTGGGGGGCCCAGACCTTGAGCTGTGTCAGGGGCCCCAAAATTTCTGATGGAAGCCCTGTCTGAAAGTGTGTGCTGGTCCGTGAGTGTGTGTCAGTCAAAATGTGTGTAAGTGAACAGGAAGAGGTGTGGCATTGGCAGGAAGAGCCAGGTACATTTAAATTAGAGGTTGACCGAGACCGGTCATGCCTAGGGCAGCACCATTTCAAAATACACCACTGATTTACTGGACACACACTCACTGACAGACATACACAAACTCACTAATTGACAGATACACACAGTCACTCACATTCACTAACACACACACATATTTTCCCCCAACACTCACAATTATTTTAAAAAAATTTAAATCCACCCAGCCTCCCTACTTTTGGGAGAGCTGGGTGGCTTTTTTACCTGAGGTCCAGTGGGGCTGCTGGGCAGGAAAGGCCCCTCGAGCGCCGCAGAGTGATGCCGGGAGCCAGACTGACATCATATTCCAGCTCCCAGCATTACTGCAGGTTGCGCATGGGGGCTGAGCAGGAAAGCTCAGGGGAAAGTGCTCCCTCGCCACCCAGGAAACAACTGGCCGCCTACCCCGGATGGCCAGCACACAAAATGAGGCAAACAAGGCATCAGTCTGGGCATTTGGGGGTGGCATTTTTTGCTGCCCCCTTGCAACTGCTGCCCAAGGCAAATGCCTTGTTTGCCTTACGGTAGATAAAGCCCTGGCCCTGCCTATCCCCTACTTAATACATAGGATGAAAAGAGACATGTGTCCATCAAGTTCATCTTTTCTCACATGTGTTTTTGCTGTTAATTCAAAAGAAGGCAAAACAACAGTTTGATGCACTTTCTAATTTTGCAACAAACTAGGAAAAAAATAATTCTTGACCCCAGAATGGCAGTCAGATCTCCCCTTGTATCAAGAAACTGTTACCGCACATGTAAAAGATTACATAAAATAAAAACAATACCGCACTCCATAAGTTATGCAAAAAAGTTAGTTTTCTTCATATAGCATTCATTCAATGATCAGGTCTGAAGGTATAGAAACAAATATACATGAGCATGAAAACCCCTATGTGACAAGACCAATCTCGCCACATTGCATTGGAGAAGCCTGGTTGCTAGCCTGTTGCCTTTGGATTATGGCCCCATGTTAAAAGGCTTGATTTTCCCCTGCAAAGACATGAAAACCGGGTCATTTGGTGCTTTCCCTGTTTGAGCGGTGATACCCCAGATAGCTATGCCATGGAGCCCATTAGTATAATGAAAGACTATGGGAAAGACTTTGGCTCCATGGCAATTGAACTGTATGTGTGTGCTCTGAGCGCCATTCAGTAATAATGTGCGCTCAGATCTGAGCTATCTGGGGATATGTTGAATGTACCTGTTTTGTGCAATGGCTGCACAGTTATGTGTTTTTATGTGTTTTATTGTCTTTTGCTGCCATGTGTTCAATGGAGTTTTGCCTCTGTCCTTGGAGATAATTGGATTACTTCACAATTATCTCCAGGATAGAAGACTCTGTGGAACTGGTTTTGGGCAGAAAAGCCATGCTTCCTTTGGTCACAAAGGACTACGCTCTATCTTTTGAACCACTGGACCAATTTGTATGATTTTGACGTATGTTTGTATTTGGAGTATGCTGATTCTGAAAATGTTTTATGTGAAAATTATGTGAATGTGATGCATACTTTTCAAGTTATGAATAATGTGGAAAAATTGTATTTCTCTGCTTGTTATAATTACATTACCCATTGTGTAAGGTAATTGAATCACAGGCAGATGGGAGGATGTTGTGTGGGAGTGTCTGAGTGTATTGTATGTGTTTATTGGTTGTGTTCCAAAACCCTGTGGGTGGTACTAATGTGTATATAAGAACAATAAACCCACAGCTCTGACTGTTCACTGCTTGACCCTCAACACGGAGCTTTGTCTCGTTCTTGGGGGGATTTATTGTGTGCTGTTCCAGTTTGACTGCTAGGAGTGTAAACCTATTTGTATGTTTTTTCCTATTCGGCTGTTTACGGCATTCATATGGTTTCCTGTTCGGCGGATTGGTGTTCTGCAGTAGCTGTGCCTGTGTCTCTGGAAGGGAAGATCTACTAAATGGCGGTTTAACCCTTTTATGCCTGGGGGTGCTGTTACACCCTATGCATAGAGTATATATATTTATATTTGGCCTGAATTTGTGGGAGGAGTTATGATCCTATATAAACCCTACCCCCCTACTTACCTTTGTCGTGCAAGCTGTTTGTCGTCTCCATAGTTACCTGCACTTCCGGTTCGTCGTTCCCGCCAAGTCCTGTCTCAAGCTGTCTCCAGCAAGCAGTCCGTCGCCAGCAGCTCCTGCCTACGTCTTCCGTGCCCGTCCACCGGCTTCTACCCGACATCCGACCACAGGTACAATTGGCTTTCGTTTAAAAATCTGTTTTGTATGCTCCATTTAGCTGAACGCAGGAGTTCTCGTTACAGTTCTCCTGTTCATTCGTTTACCGAACACAAGAGGCTACCGTGTTTAAACTCACTAATCTACTGTAATAGTACATAGTAATGCTTTCACGTATCTAAGCATTCGCATTATTTATCCTATATGTATTTATGTGTTTTTATTATATGGCTCTTAAAGTTACCACTGGCTAAATAATATGTGTTTCTAATTTTCCGCTATGGTCACATAATTATGGGACACCTATTTTTTACAGGGTAAATCTTCTTAAAGGCACAGTTTGTCCACTTTCTCTTATAAGTTAAGTTATAAAGTACACCTCCATGCATTATCATACCTTGCTGAGACTTAGTCTGTATTAGTCTTCTACGCAACTAAGGTCTCCGCTCATAGGTTAAGCCTTACGGTCCTTTTTCACCAGGGTCATTACAGACCATTAGCAGGATTTTAAAAAACCTCTATTCCTTAAAAGTCCTTATATACTGGTTCCTTACTAGTGATGTCGCGAACCCGAAATTTTCGGTTCGCGAACGGCGAACGCGAACTTCCGCAAATGTTCACGAACCGGCGAACCGGGCGAACCGCCATAGACTTCAATGGGCAGGCGAATTTTAAAACACACAGGGACTCTTTCTGGCCACAATAGTGATGGAAAAGTTGTTTCAAGGGGACTAACACCTGGACTGTGGCATGCCGGAGGGGGATCCATGGCAAAACTCCCATGGAAAATTACACAGTTGATACAGAGTCTGGTTTTAATCCATAAAGGGCAGAAATCACCTAACATTCCTAAATCACAATGAATATGGATTGACACCTGACATATGACATATTGACACCTTGACATATGGATTGACACCTGTCCTCAGAGCCCCTGATGCACACGGACACAGAGCAGAATAGAGACTGGTCCCCCTACATAGGGTCACTTGGCAGATATGGATTGACACCTGTCCTAAGGATCCCTGATACACACTGACACAGAGCAGAATAGGGACTGTTCCCCCTACATCGGGTCACTTGGCAGATATGGATTGACACCTGTCCTCAGGATCCCTGATACACACTGACACAGAGCAGAATAGGGACTGTCCCCCTACATAGGGTCACTTGGCAGATATGGATTGACACCTGTCCTCAGAGACCATGATACACACTGACACAGAGCAGAATAGAGACTGTTACCCCTACATAGGGTCACTTGGCAGATATGGATTGACACCTGCCCTCAGAGACCATGATACACACTGACACAGAGCAGAATAGGGACTGTTCCCCCTATATCGGGTCACTTGGCAGATATGGATTGACACCTTGTTACAAACTGCTATTTGTAACGGGCCCTTTAAATGGCAAATTGCCCTGCTTCCCTGGGTTGTGGAGAAGCCTATTTGCCAGCCTCCTCCCGCATGACTATGGTCCCTGGGAGATTGTGAAAATGTATGCACTTTTATTTGGTGTGTGTGGCGAAACCAACCTCACCACTGTGAACTGGAGAAGCCTGGTTGCTCGCCTGCTCCCTTTGGACTATGGCCCTGCAGGTTAAACTGTTTATTTCCCCTGCAGAAAGGCTTATTTGTGTGATCTGAGTGCCATTCATCTAATAATGTGCACTCAGATCCCAGCTATCTGGGGATATGTGAAATGTCTGTGTGTTATGTGTAAATGTGACTTTATGTATTTTAAAGTGTTTTGTGTCTTTTTGCAACCATGTGCTTAATGGAGTCTTGTGTCTGTCCTGGGAGATAATTGAATTACTTATCTCCAGGATAGAAGACTCTGAAACTGGTTTGGGCCAGAAAGCCATGCTTCATTTAGTCACAAAGGACTTTTTACTAACTTTTGAACCCCTTGTCTGATTTGTGCCATTTTTGAATATGTTGTTCCCCTGAATGGATTGATTGTGAATATGTAATTTTATGTGAATGTGATGTATGGTTTTGGAGTTATGAAAGTTGGGTAGAAAGTATGTTTTAACTGTATGTATAATTGAGTTTCCTCTAAGGATAAGGGGAGGGAATATGTGGGATGTAACTGTGATGTGATTGGTTGTTTTGTAACGCCCTGTGGGCTGTACTATGTTTGTGGATTGGGAATAAAAGAGACTGGCGAAAGAGAGAGAGTATGCTCAGCGGAAGGAGTGTTACAGCAGCCGAGTAGAGGCTGCATCCGAGGAGGCTAGCCGTCTCCCCCTGAGGCGGCCGCAGGAACCCAAAGTAGGGGTCCTCATAGACTGGTCCTGTGAGGAACCACAACAGGAAGGTGGAGATGGGACCGGCCCAGATCCCCAGCAGCAGCCGGAGTTGCCAGGTGCGGAAGCAGGTGGTCCTTACTCGCAAATGTTGAGGGACCTCACAGACTGGTCCTGGGAAGACCCACAGATGGCAGGTGGAGATGGGACGGCGGTCTCTCAACCGGCCCTACAGGGATGCTGGGCGGTCGGCCCAGATCTCCAGCGGCAGTATGTACCCCAGGGAGCTGAAGGTGCAGTCCTTCCTCCCCAGCGGCAGTGTGTACCCCAGGGAGCTGAAGGTGCAGTCCTTCCTCCCCAGCGGCAGTGTGTACCCCAGGGAGCTGAAGGTGCCGTCCTTCCTCCCCAGCGGCAGAGTGTCCTGCAGGGAGCAGAGACCGTCAGTCTCACACCCCAACCACAGGACAAAATAATGAAAGGGGAGACAGCTGGTCCCCCTCTCCACCAGCAGAGAGAGTGTCAGGGAGAGGAGCCTGATACCCCCTCTCCCCAGCGGCAGTTTACAGTTCAGAGAGAGGAGCTTGTTACACCCTCTCTCCAGCGGCAGCCTAACCCAGCAAGGGGAGATGTTACACCCCCAACAGTGCAGATGGGAACGTAGTCTCTGCACTTGCAGCACCAGGGGTAGGGACAGTCGGTCCTGTTCCCCAGCCACAGAGCGGTGTATCCAGAGGGGAGACAGTCGGTCTCTCCCTCCCACAACCAGGCTCCCACCAGGCTACTTCCGTGGTAGCACTGGCATCAGGGCAGAGTACCGCTGGTCTCTGCCCACTCAGCAACCCACCAAGGCAGCCTAACAGTTGCCCACACAGTCGTGGTGAGGCACCTGGACATGGACAAAGTTCTCCTCTACCCAGGTGTAGTAACCAGTTATTGTGGGTGGGCTGTACTGCTGTTTCTGTTTTGTGGGTGGGTTGCTGGACTAACCAGGGCACTGACCGGCAGGAGGTCAGATACCCTGTTAGTCTAGTTGGTAAAGGGGAGAAGTGTGGCGAAACCAACCTCACCACTGTGAACTGGAGAAGCCTGGTTGCTCGCCTGCTCCCTTTGGACTATGGCCCTGCAGGTTAAACTGTTTATTTCCCCTGCAGAAAGGCTTATTTGTGTGATCTGAGTGCCATTCATCTAATAATGTGCACTCAGATCCCAGCTATCTGGGGATATGTGAAATGTCTGTGTGTTATGTGTAAATGTGACTTTATGTATTTTAAAGTGTTTTGTGTCTTTTTGCAACCATGTGCTTAATGGAGTCTTGTGTCTGTCCTGGGAGATAATTGAATTACTTATCTCCAGGATAGAAGACCCTGAAACTGGTTTGGGCCAGAAAGCCATGCTTCATTTAGTCACAAAGGACTTTTTACTAACTTTTGAACCCCTTGTCTGATTTGTGCCATTTTTGAATATGTTGTTCCCCTGAATGGATTGATTGTGAATATGTAATTTTATGTGAATGTGATGTATGGTTTTGGAGTTATGAAAGTTGGGTAGAAAGTATGTTTTAACTGTATGTATAATTGAGTTTCCTCTCAGGATAAGGGGAGGGAATATGTGGGATGTAACTGTGATGTGATTGGTTGTTTTGTAACGCCCTGTGGGCTGTACTATGTTTGTGGATTGGGAATAAAAGAGACTGTATGTGACAGTACAGGGAGTTCCTGTTTTAACCCTCAAAGTGAAGTGTCGTCTCATTATTGGGGGAAGGATTTATTGTATGCTGTTCCAGTTTGACTGCTAGGAGAGTAAACCTATTCATATGGTTCCTATTCAACTGTCTACAGCATTCATATGCTTGGGAGAATTTATTTGTTTCTCCGGTTCGGTGATTGTGGTGTCTGCCAGAGTGCTTGGAGTCCTCAGGAAGCGCTTTCAACGGAGGTACCCAGTCAGGGTGCCAGGTGATCCGTTACAGTGTGTATGGCCTTTAAGACTGTCAGTGGGCATATTGGGGCTTATGGACTCTTTATGTGACTGGTGCTGGCCCTTTAAACACCTTTTTTGGGACATCAGGAAGATTGGGACACTGCCCCTTTAAGGCCGTGTCCCCAGACTTGTTGGGGACACTGCCCCTTTAAGACGGTGTCCCCTGTGTCCCCAGACCTGGTGCAAACCCTTTGTGCCTGCCTGGCTAATTCCCACTTGGTTCAGTAAATGGGGCTTACTGAACCAAGTACCACACAGGCAGACCACCCAGAAGTGGAAGTGTGCAGGCAATTTACCTCCCAGAAGCTGCGGTTAACCGCAGCTTAATTGACAATGCTGGGAGGTCTTTGTTCGTTTGCCGAACACGTGGCGGCGGCCATCTTTGATCATTCGACGAGGTCAGCGGTATGTGTAGCCAAATTCATGGAACTAAAATCGGCTACACATTTCCGTGAACACCGCTGAGCTCTACCTTCTCCCCTACTGGTTTTACAGCTGCAGAGACTAAGTCCCATTCGGCGATGGGACTTAGTCGTTTTTTCAGCCTGAAATAGACCGACCTCACAGCCCAAATCTATGGAACTGTTTTGGGCAGGAAAATGTGCTTGTGGTCGGTCATAAAGGGACCTCCAGCTAACTTTTTAACCCCTGGATGTCTTTGGCTGATTTTTGGTTATGTTTATGTTTTAAGTGTGCTGATTCCAAATATGTAATTATGAAGATGGGATGTGTAGTTTTAAAGTTACAGTGTATGGCTAAAAACTGTATTTTTACTG